GTGAGTTCATCATCACTTAGCAACAGCTCATATATATATCTAACATACAGTCAGTAAAAGAACAAGGAAATCACCGCTTTGGTAGGTTTCGAATTCATATATAGGCAGAGGGTGATGGCTGACATATTTCCTGTATGTGAGTGGAATATACAAAAACTTCACAAGGGTATACCCAACTCATTTTGAGTTCTTTTTATCTTGAAATGGGTCAGCCACTGCTAAATATCTATATACCTGGCTTTCCATAATAGGAATCAGCATACAATAGGACAATCATAACAAGTTACTCAGTGAGAAACATATTATTCCTTTGATGAGACACTAAGAAACAACAACTGACTGATCAAGCTCATTGAGTATATCTGTATCACATTTTGACACATATTAGAGCAATGATAATCAGATATGTTAAGATTTTTGGATGTGTAATAAGCAGATCCTCACTCTATGAGTGTGTGTGTGTGTGTGCATGGTCCTATGTCTGACATCCCTGATCTAACAGTACTGGTCAAGTAAAAAAAAAAAAAAAGGAAAATAATGGTGATACCATTACAAAAAGATTCTGCCCACATTATATTGACAGACAGATGTATAACAATCAAGAATAACTGCTGCTTACTTATTCATTGATCATTCAAACTGTCTGACAATGGAAATATTCATCTCATCTACAGGATATATAAAACATAAACCCCTAAACAATACAAATACATTCATTAAAAAAACAACCTCTAATGCATGCTGCTGAGATGCCATAACTTCATCAATCATGGCAGTCTCTGCCAGATGCTGCTGATACTTGTACTGCGACCACTCCTTCAGCAGAGCTACTCTTTGATCCTTCACTTCTTCCTGCAGTTGGATGGACCTCTTACGGATTCTGTGGTGAAAGAAAAGTTCCTTTATATTTAGGTTTGCCCATGAAGATTACATATCTACTTTTATTATAGTATTTTCTGTAACACATAAGTATAATGTAATCTATTCACTGCTAGATCTATCTACTAAATGATGTATAAGCTCTAGGAAAAAATGCAAAATATGATACAGACCCAAGAAATGGACTAATGGGAGGATTCTCATATATCTCTTTTTCACAGATTCCCAATGATTAACTGCCCAACTACTTGACCTAACATAAGAGTGGGTTAACTATCATAAGGGTACATTAACTTGACCGTCACAAAGTGATATACCATTATGCAACCAAAATATAATTCATACTTTTGGAAGGGTGACAAGGTTTCAATCCACATACATTGGAAAATAAATATACTATTCTTAATAAGTCCAAAGGAACAAAATGAGAAAAGCTAATCTATTTGAAGTCAATAAAATGCTAAGAGAATTAGTACCAAATTTTTTATCCTCTTTCATAACAAATATCTAAAACCATTTTGATTAATCCCAAGACACATTCTTTTACAATCTTTCTTATCTTCCCACAGACAGTGGATTGGATTGTTAGTACTCACTCTTTCTCCTGCACGATGGTTCTCGGGACTTCCAGTTCATCGATGGGTTTCAGCTGACTAGCATTCTTTTCCAATCGCCGAATTTGTTTCTCAATTTTCTTCTTCTTACGCTCCTCTCTCTGACGTATGAGCATGGGATCCATCTTCTTTTTCTTCTTTAAGGGTTCAGCTCTAAGAAAGTAATGAGAATATGAGAAAAACATTTTTTCATGGAATGCAACTTCAATTATCAGAGAAAAAAAGCATGCTTTCACTATAATTTACCAAATGAACAAAATATAATAAAAACTGTTCCTTACTCAACAACTTGTGTGAGCCTAAAGCAGAGAGGGGCTGCAGCTGTCGAGATGGACCGCTGAAATGAACTCTCCCGGAGTGATAGTCTGAAAAACAAAAATACAATGGTAAAGGAAATGGTTTTCTTTTCATGGCTTGAAACAAAATATAAACATTACCAATACCTTCATTTATATCATTTATGAGGGAAAATAACAAGAGATTCAGTCATATTACTGTGCTGATGATTAAAAGATAATAATTGCAATATTGGATGGCTGTGTGAAATTAACTATGTATTAACCATACTAATGCATATCTCAAATAAGTACAGCCGGTTTGAATGTGGAATTATTTTATAAATCAGTTATGTCAGTATGTCAATTAACATAAAATTAATGATTGTCAATCTTATCTACTTATCTTTTCTGTACATCTCCATTATTGTCATCAATGATATCTTGTTATTCAATTTAAGAGTAAAAATATATTAATCTCGAAACAGTCATGGGATGCAAATTTACTAAACAACTTTTCACGTTAAATACCAACATTTATCGAAACACGACCCTCTCTCAAGAACATTTTAACTACACTCATCCACTCAATGAATGTCCCACCTTGTAAAAGACGCCAGCAATTTCGTTGTTGAAGACATTTTATGCAAGAAATGTAATTGGCGTATTTTCGGTAACTTCTCCCCACAGTCTCGTTGTTTGCGTTTTTGTAAAGAGAGAATTCGCAGACTG